AGCAAAATCATTAAGGGCGTGTCTGAACCCACTTTTGCTATAGCATGGAAAAATACTGTGCGCCTCGGTGCATGGTCTAACAGGTTGTGCTAATTCTCTTAATGAGTTATGGGTAGGCCCACACAGAATCCCATCATTAATGCTGTTTATTTACTTGAGTAAATGTGTGTAAATCTATATTTATTCAGTTTTCAAATTAATTACAGTAATATTATTGATTGATATGAAAATGTTCATCTGATTTATGTACAATGCAGTTTGTACAGTAAAATTTTCTGTCTTTTAGTAGATATAATAAATGAGAGACTTGCTTTGTTTACCAAATAAGTAGATCTAATTGGATTTACATTTTAAACATTTAATAAAAGTTAAAAATATATTATTTTAAGGTTTTAGTTATGATACTCCCAAAATCGTTTAGCAGAAATCCGCAGATTTTTACCAAAATTCTCAGCAGAAATAGCATATTGTGCATTAAACCAATCAGAATCTCATCTTCTGTTCCCTTTAAGAGTCAGTTGCGTCGCGCAATAGTGCATTTGCTATTTACATGGCAGACTTTGTAAGTGGAAAAACTGAGCGCTTCAATAGTGAGAAAACAGTTAAACAGACCATCTGCAGTGCGAGGATAAAGAACGAGCCTCCTCCATTTGGCCTCTTTACTTTCTCTTTCCCTTTACTTTTACTCTTTACTATCGTGGATAAGGTAATGGTGTTGTATGCACTCCACTAAAGACATAATTTAGCCTACATATTTAATTTTGCTTGTTAAGCTCAAAGATTTGTTTTAAAATTATTTCTAAATTCAGTTCTAATTTCCAGCAAATGAATAAATTAACAATAATATCAAAGTGTGGTCAAAAAAACTGAGTTATACCTAGGGCTTAATTTCTTTCTGTCAGTTTGTCAGCTGTTGCTTCCATACCTCAAGCGTTGTGGCTCTAGCTTTATTTATTCTGGCTGTCTAAAGTTTTAGTTTATGGCTTTTTAGTGTACAAAACTTCAGCTTGCAGCAATGGGTTTGAAGTTTGTAGATGTACAAGACGCCTGTGAAAATAATGAGGAATAATGACGTCCATCTCCCCTCGTGAAGTCTGCCTCCCAGAGAGATTTATGAAAATGAAAGTGAACGTCTGAGGCAACAAAGGGCCCACGCAGAGCATTCGACTTGTTAAGAACAAAATAATCAACTTGCGCAGCTTGAAGCTTTGTCGGACCGCCCAACTTTGCTCCCTGCGTCTTTTGTCGTATTGTGCGGAGAGTGAGACAGTGTCTTCAAGAATGCTTCCATAAGGCCAAAATTAGCATGTCAATATGGGAGCAAGAAAATGAAATTTGTCTGGCTTGAGCTGCGAGTGAGTGAAATTGGAGTTTGCAGATTGCCAATTAACGAAGTAGAGAAGTAGAATGTGATTTTCATGGAGTAAAAGCACTGAGTAATTATTAAACTGCTTCAAGTATGCAGTCACACACACTGGGTCGTTCATTTTCCATAACATCTAATCGCCCCATTCCTGGCCATTACTAAGAAACGTTTAATTAATAATTTAAATTAATATGAAGCTGTATGTAATTTAAGGATCTGTTTTTGATTGTCGAAGAATATGATGCACTTCACTCTCAGAGTCAGCCAATAAGAGTTCATAAAACATTTTAATTGGCATTTGTGGAATATAAAAGGTTTTGGAAACACTTAATCCAGAGAAATTTGAACTCAGACACACACATAAGAGCATGAGACAAAGTTGAAATCTGAATTATAGAAGAAACTGATACAAAGTAGTTTCATATTAGAGAGCATGCTTCTAGTTTTGTTGAAGAGCAAAAGGAAAGTGCTTATGATTGGAAAGATTTGCACTTTGGCATTATAGGGGTGTACTCTCGCATTACTATAACACGCTTTTGAAAATTGGCAATATTATAATAGTTTAAAATGTGATGATTTAGCAATCAAAGTCCAATCACTCCAAAAAAGTAAAGAGCTTTCTCTCAATGAGCTACACTGTTTGTGTGGCCATTCTTAAATTGTGAACTCTGATTTATTTATTTTTTTAATAGTTTATGAATTTTAAGTTTAAAGGAACACTCCACTTTTTTTTTGAAAATAGGCTCATTTTACAAGTCACCTAGTGTAAAATAGTTGAGTTTTACCATTTTTAAACCCATTCAGTCAATCTACAGGTCTGATGGGGGCACTTTAGCTTAGCTTAAGGCACGTTCCACTGAGTGGTAGGGTTCGGTATGCTTTTATGGCTGTTTCCACTGTTAAAAGTTACCTAAAAGCGAATGATACTGTACCACTTTTTTGGTCCCTTTTGCCAAGAGTACCTAGTATGACAAAAGGGTACCAAAAGGTGGAGCTAGACGTGCAGCTGAATGCTATTGGTTCACAGAGAAACGTCATTTGTGCATACACAAACAAGAGAATGAAAAAAAAGAAACCGCCATTTTTAAATACACAGCTGAGACATTACATCGTAATACAATATGCATATAATAACGAGTCAGGGTCGACCTGAGCTCAAACAAACCTTGCCGTTATCTCGATGAACAGCCACAAAGCCGAGAAGAACAAAATCTGCTGTGTCCTGTTTTTGTTTTATGAGGCCGTCTAAAAGTGAGAGCGGTTTCACTTTCTCCAGAGAGCTCGCGATCGCTTGTGTGTGTGTGTGTCTATATTTGGAATAACGGACTTCTTGAGCTGATGATAATAACGTGTGCGTAGTTATTAAAGTGCTTCTGACATCCGGTCCTTTCAGAAACGGACAAACACGAGAATGACACACAAAAAAACAAAGGAGAAGCTGGAAAAAACACAGAGCAAATTATTCTTTCAGCAAACAAACTGCCATGTTTAACTAATATCATCACCTTTTAGACTATTATGAACTCAGAATGACAGAATTACTTTCTAGCAGAGTTTACATGTGCTGGTGAAGATTAAAGACACAGATGAGAGGTTTGCACTGACTGTGGGCTACATGTTGCGTGTTGTTTTTGAACACATATAAGGACTAAATGTAAACTGTGTGCAGTTTTTTTCTGTAATTGGGATCATATCAGAAACTGTAAGGGTCTGTATGTGTTCATATATGTTACATTTAATTAATTTATATAATTGCAGACGTTACAGTAGGCTATTTCGTTATTGATCTGCAGTTATAATCAAGTCATGTCCATAGAAAGGTTAGTAACAGACATTTATACACAAGTATTTATGTGTATAAAGCATCTGTTTTGTAAGATGTGCTTCTCATATGATATGTGAACGACGCATACAGCTTTACTTTGAGAGATGTACTCGAACATGAATGACATTGACTAAATCATCATACACCATGCCCACCAAAGGGGTACCCTTTAGGCCAGAGGTGGGCAAACTTCGACCCTCGGGGCATATGCGGCCCGCTGAACACTTTCATCCGGCACGCGAGGGTTTTTAAAATGCTGCTTCTGAGTTAAGCCTGGTTTATACTTCTGCGTCAAGTGACCTGCGTAACCATCGGCGCATGCAAAGCCCGTAGCTGTGCATTTATACTTCTGCGCGCTGTCTCTGATGGTCTGCATTAACACTTCCGAAACGCTAGTTGGCAGTGAGGTGTAAATGTTCCTCTGTGTCGAGTTTCTTCGCTGCTATTTTGCTTTTCCTGAACACTTCCTGGATGTACAAGTGGCTCAAACTCGCTCATTTTGAGGCAGGAACCGGCGTACGTGCAACAACTTTAACTATGAGGTAAACACAAAACAAAACTTTCCATCCGGAGCTCCTTCACGGGACTCCACACTTGTAAACAATCACTCCATTGGGCTCGTGCCATTCACGCGGCTCTCGGTCCCGCCCAGACTTGTCCGCGCTACCAAGTCGACCAATCACAGAGCCTGCGCTAAGCGTTGTTGCGACGTGTAGTTACATTTTTTGAGAGGTGCGCGTCAGTGACGTCAGCATACGCCGGCGTTTGACGCAGAAGTATAAATCAGCCTTAACGGTTTGGTTTCAGAATTAGTAAATTTAATGATGAAATTACAAATGAACGCCATGTGATGGCAGTATTGCACGCGGTACAGTTAGTGCAACCACTAGAATTAGAACACACTTTCGGATATTAAAATGCACTCGACTGTTAATGACTAAAAATGAGTCAGGCAAAACAAAGAAAAATTGACTCTGAATGTCATGTGTCTAAGGAAGAATGAACAACAAAATACTTCTTCACCAATATCCGAGAGTGGTATGTCTAATATGCCAAAAAAAAGTATTTCAATTTTTAAAGACTACAACCTAAGGGGCCGATCGCAACAAACACCCTTTATGCGTTAAGAGATATGAGCATATTTATAAAAGCTCAAATGAGATTGTTGTGAATTTGACTCAAATTATATAATAATTGCTGGTTAAATGTGTTTTTTTTGTTCATTTATTCGTGACTAGAGCTTGATTAATTTGATTGACATCCAAGGCAATGAGACCTTTAGTTTGACTGACTGAATGTGAGTTTATTGCATGCAACGCTGTATTTTGGTAGCACAAAAACTCTTACTGCTCTGGGAGAGAAATAATTGCACTTTTTGAAGCCCAAACTTAATTCAAAACCCAAACAGCTTGTTTTGTAATGTAATGCCAGCTATACCACATGAAGGACGGTTACAGCGTGTTGTAGTCGGCCGTCACTGGAGAAAGTATAAACTTTCTTTCATTTTTTGGACTTTTGTTTGAAAGCTTTAGTGGCATTGTAGCTGTTCAAGGTACTGTTGTATGATTTAAATTATAGCCTATATTTGCACCAATAAACGAGTAAAAAGGAATGAATGAATAAATAAAATAAATATGCATGCTTAAATGTCGATATTATTTTTACAAAAAAAAAAAAAAAAAACAATAATAGTTTATCATTTATGAGGCCATGTAACACGTTTTTGCGGGTTTTTTTTTTTTTTTGGTTCTCTGTGATCTTTAATACGTAATGGGTAGCTAGGCAAATTATTTTCTAAAATGTTAAGCATGAATTTGTTTAGCTTTAATTATAACTTCAATAAATAAAAAAAAATAACAAAAATAAAATTATAAAAATACAACGAAAAAGAGCAGCATTATGCTAAATACAATAGTGCTTTATATGCTTTATATCCTGCTATGTGTTGTTTCATATTCATTTTTATTTCACTTGATGCATTCGTTATTTAATGTTTGAATACTGAAAGAAATAACAGCCATCGTTTAAATGGTTATTTTACCATCAAAATGCATATTTTATATCATTATAATACCTTGGAATAAAATCCTGCAGGCGCCCCTGATTGTAACTACATGATGTAACTAAAGAAGAGTCCAGCTTTAAATAGGAAAATTAATGATCTAATCTGATTTGATAATTTATGTTGAGCTAAGCTAAACGTGTTTCCTTCAGACGCAGAGATCAGCTTAATGGATTCAAAAAATGGTAAAACTCAACCGTTTAACTCTGGGAAACTTGTAAAATGAGCCTATTTTTTAAAATCTTCTATATACCACCTCTTGTCTCAAAGCATCTACTCATCTCTAGAATACTACATATATATTTATTCAACAATCAACTTTGAAACTGGACATGAAAACCTTGAAACACCCCACCAGCGCCCTTCTGAAAACACTGGTGAAGCACATGCTCTGTGCGGGTCTCTCTGAAAGATGTGGACATCTCTGATTTGGCCAGGAAGACAAAAGCCCTGGAACCTTCTGCTGTCCTCTCATCTCAAGCAGGGCTCGTTGATGGAGGACGCTGCCAGGTTGGCTGCCCCGCTCTGGGATATCTGTAGGAGTTTGGCACAGAGAGCCTTGTGGTCTAGTGTGTTCTCAGGGGTTTGGCATAGATGGGCTCCAGGAAATGTAAGGGCAGCAACATGAACAGGGCTGCCAAAAACACCAAGCTCACCAAGGACAGGAGCACATAGCGACCGATGAAGAACATATCCACGATCTGAAAAACATCACAAGCGTATGGCGTGAATTATTGAACATATTATACAGTCAGTGAAAAGTAATTAAAAGCATGAGGGCTTTGATGTTTCCATTAATATTTTGAACGAACATGCAGACAGTTCGGTGCGTTCTGCTTTTGTCCACTAGAGGTCAGCAAGACTCTTGTCAAATATCCTGACCGCGACATCAGACACCCAATTAAACCTTTTAATACCACACAAGACACTATTAAACTGCTACAAAGACGTGTTTTGATCAAGATTACCCTAAGAACAGACACACACACATACATACATACATATAAGCTACAGTTTAAAAGTGTAGGGTCAATAACAGCTTTTGTTCATATTAAAACATCAAATGACACATTAATCAAAGGTGACCGTCAATACATTCACAATTTCACAAGAGGTATACATTTCATTTTTTTCAAAGAGGGAATCCTGAAAAAAAGTAACACCATTTCCATGAATATATTTAAATATTGACAACTCTTCCAATGTTAATTGAAATAATTTAATTATTGCATTACAATAATTAATTTACAATTAAGAAAAAAACAACAACACTATAATTAAAAGGTTTACTATAAATAAATAAAAACTATAAATAATTTTTTTAAATATACTTTTATTATAAATTATATATATATATATATATATATATAATTTTATAATAAAAGTATATTTAAAAAATTTATTATTTAAAAAAGCATATTACATGCAAGTGTCTAATGTTTCAAATACCTTTTCTGTTAATATATTGGCAAAATAATGTTATTATATTATTCGATGTAAGATCTATTTGTGCAAAAACAACATATTTTCCTTTATAATATCTAAAATAAGTGATCAAACCTAATTAATTTTATTTAAAAGAAATTGTTCATCATTATTAGTATTTCAGGTCTGCACTGTGTGGAGACTTTTATTATGTCATCAAATTAATAATTCCAGCTAACGTAAAATCCATGTAAAAATGCCAGCTGAGATATCTTTGAACAAGATAATAGTGTTTAGTAGTTCTGTAAATTATTTCAAATAAATCTATTGTAAAAAGTATTATGAAAATTATTTATTCAATCATTTTCCATCGGCTTAGTCTCTATTTCAGAGATCGACATAGCGAAATGAACCGCCAACATGGCCCGCGTATGTTTAACACAACGGATGCTCCTCCAGCTGCAACCCAGTACTGGGAAACACCCACATACTCTCGCATAACCTATGGGCAATTAAGTTTCTTCAATTCACCTAAAGCGCACATCTTTGGACTGTGGGGAAAACTGGAGCAACCAGAGGAAACCCACGCGGTCATGGGAAATGGGGAATATGCAAGCTGGAAGTCGAACCAGTGACCTCTTTGCTGTGAGGCAACAGTGCTAACCACTGAGCCACCGTGCCGCCCTACAATTATTTTAATGATTTTTTTTTTTCAAGCTCGAAAATCTTTTTTTAATATATATAATAACGTTTTTGTGGGTATTATGTGTAAAATAGATGGATTATATTGTATATTTTTTTATATAAGATTGTTGTTAATATCTGTAAACACTCACAGCTAAACTCAGAATTATTACCCTTTTGATTTTTTTTTTATATTTCCCAAATAATGTCTTATTTGTTTTATTTCGGCTAGAAAAAAGCATTTTTTAATTTTTTAAAAACATTTTAAGGTCAAAATTATTAGCCCATTTAAACTATATTTTGTTCGATGGTCTACAGAACAAACCATCATTATAACTTGCCTAATTACCCTAACCTGCCTAGTTATCCTAATTAACCTAGTTAAGCCTTTGAATGTCACTTTAAGCTGTATAGAAGTGCCTTGAAAAATATCTAGTCAAATATTATTTACTGTCATCATGGCAAAGATAAAATAAATCAGTGATTAGAGATGAGTTACTAAAACTATTATGTTTAGAAATGTGTTGAAAAAAAAATCTTCTCTCCGATAAACAGAAATTGAGGGGGAAAAAATAAACAGGGGGGCTAATAATTCTGACTTCAAATGTATTCTTTACTTATATATTTGCACACTATCCGAAATCTAAACCTCTCTGCCTTTCATATTATTTCTTACTGTGCTCTGTGCTTTCCCTCCATGTTAGAATTAAAGCTGAACAGGCTGTTGAATACTAACGACACTCTGAATCCCTGTGGACCTAAACGGCGAGTATGAGGCCTAAATCATGGGAGAGGCCACAACCTACACTGAACTACAGCCAGACCCATGTCTTTGTGTGTGTGTGTTTGTGTGTGTGTGTGTGTGTGTGTGTGTGTGTGGGAGGAGGCTCCGTCTCCAGCGAATGCGGTCTTCTCTCGTTTAACGCATCTCACTTTCTAATTTGCCAATTAGCTGGCTAGCGAAGCACAGAGCAGAGGCCATGTTTTATTAATGTGGCATCGAATGTGCGGCAGTGAGCTCCTGTTTGGGGCCGGCCTAATTGGCACTGTGATGTTATTCCTTTGTACAACAGCGAGGGGTTACCCATTTCTCATACAACACAGTGTCACCTATCAAGAAAAAAAAAGAAAAGAAACTGTTATCTGGTCATACCCGCTGCAAGCAAATCAGCGACGAGTGTAACATGGGTTCGGTGAACAGATCAGAGGTTAGCCCTATGTGTGGCACCACATGCATGCTTATTTGAGAAATTTGGTTCAAATGGAAGCCACTGTGGAAAAATCAGATGAGGAAGATCATGTTTTGTTTTTGAATGCATATGCCTTCTGTTGTTCCAAAGAGCAAACCTTGATATCATTCCTTGATTGACAGAAACCTGGGTTATTATGGCTAAAATTAATATTATTTTTCGTTTCTTGATAATAAATAAATGTTGAATTAATTTAACTAAAATGTCTAAAATACTTGCTGCCAAGGAAATAATTCTCAATTGTAGTTAGTTAGACTCTAAAAATGCTGGGTTGTTTTTACTCAACATTGGAATGTAACGTGGTGGAAAAACAAACAACAATAACTAAAATCTTTACAAACGTTGAATCTATTAAATAAATTGCAATAATAAACATAGGTTAAACAACTAAAACATAAAGAGTATATTAATGGCATCTTAATGCTACTAAAATTGTATAGAATTTAAAAAATAATAATTATAATTCTCATTTTATTTAGCATGCACTCTAAAAAAATGCTGGGTTGTTTTAACCCAATGTTGGAATGTAAACTGACTGGAAAACAAGAAAATAAATATACTCTTTTAAATCTGTATACGCCTTAAAATTCAATCAAATAAATAGCAATAATAGACACACAAAACTACTAACAAATAACTAACAAATTTAAAAATAACAACAAAAAGTAAATACTATATTATGTCATTTTAATGCTACTAAAACTATATAGATAAAAAAAACAATCATTTTTAAATTTTATTTAGCTCATACTCTAAAAATGCTGGGTTGTTTTAACCCAATATTGGAATCTAACTTGGTGGAAAAACAAACAAACAAACAATAAATAAAGACTTTAAACCTATAAACACTTTAAACAAACAATAAATAAACTCTTTAAAAATGTTAAATCTATAAACATCTTAAAAATTAAATCAAATAAATAACAATAATAAACATAGGACACACCAACTTGTTAACAAACAACTTACAAAATAAAAATAATCCAACTAGTATATTATTGGCATCTTAATGCTACTAAAATTATATGGATTTAAAAAATAACAATAATAATATTTCTCAATTTTATTTATAGCTTACACTTACAATGTAACTTGGTGGGAAAACTAACAAATAATAAAATAATAATAATATAAAATAATAAAATCTTGAAAAACTTAAAATCTACAAAAACCCAAAAAAATGAAATAAATTAAATAGTAATAATAAACCGATCACCATTTCCTGCTTGTTATCAAAGTATTTCATAACTTTAACAAGAGGGATAACTTAATGTCAAAACAGATATCATAACATTATTTATCAATATGTGTCTCTTTTTGGATTCTCAGAAGCTATAGAAATTAAAATGTACAACAGGAAATACATTGGGGCTATTGTTTTTGTTTGCATCCCTTAAAATGGTCTATATTAATGGCATCTTAATGCTACTAAGATTATACAAATAATTAAAAAACAAAAAAACTTGCATAATACAAACTTTTTTAAAAAGGTGTTTTTGGCATCAGAAATCTTTACCCATCACACCTCTGATCTGAATTGTAAATCGAACATCGATTGCAGTACACTATTCATTCAGCCTGTAAGGTTTCAAATGTCGAAAGTAACTTTTTCAACCAGTGAGCAAGAGGTAATCTAATCATTTTTGATTGAAAGGAACATTTAATTCAGTCAACACGTTTCTTTTCTGGATTGAAGACTGAAAAGGTAAATGCTTTGGTTTTTTTGTTTGTTTGTGCAGACAAGAGGGTGACTTGGCAGCTCAGAGAGCTGTTTTTTTTGGCAAAGACAGACTTTGGGAAAAAGCTGTTGTGTTTGTGTTTGTCTGCTGTTGAGGAGAGATAAACCAGCGCATGGTTTTGTCAAATATAACACAGTGTACAGTCAGTGCACCTAAAACTCCATTCAGGCATGAATATCAGAATTCAATAAAGTTACAAACCATTTATGAAACCATGAGAGAGAATTAGGAGAATTCAGACATATGTGAGTGGCAATAGGGAAAATAAGACGCCTCTAAAACATTCTTCTCTAAAATGTGAAACAATATTGTTGCTATGTTTTTTCTTGAGAATATTTATATTTCTATCTAATTTCAAAATAAAAATATTGCAATTTAGAACAATCTGTTAACAGCATTTTGTTTGCATTTGTTTTGCTTCCATATATATATTTCCAAGCTTTAGGAACAACAAATAATAACTTGACTTCTAGTTGATCTTTTGGAAAAGTGGCAGAAAGTAGATTTTCCGATAAAACATCTGTTGAAATGCATTCCAATCAAAACCTATTGGAACCCACATCGACCCAAGATTCTCATAGAAATCAGTGAAGTTTGGTTAAGGAAAAATAATGGTTTGGGGTTGCATTCAGTATGGGGGTGTGCGAGAGATCCACAGAGTGGATGGCAACATCAGTAGCCTGAGGTATCAAGACATTTGTGCTGCTCATTACATTACAAACCACAGGAGAGGGCAAATTCTTCAGCCAGGATAGCGCTCATCATACTTCAGCCTCCATATCGAAGTTCCTGAAAGTAAAGAAGGTCAAGGTGCTCCAGGATTGGCCAGCCCAGTCACCAGAAATGAACATTATTTAGCATGTCTGGGGTAAGATGAAGGAGGCATTGAAGATGAATCCAAAGAATCTTGATGAACTCTGGGAGTCCTGCAAGAACGCTTTCTTTGCCATTCCAGATGACTTTATTAATAAGTTATTTGAGTGATTGCAGAGATGTATGGATGCAGTCCTCCAAGCTTATGGGAGTCATACACAATATTATTTTTTTCCCCACTGAATCATGACTTTATATTCTATACTGTACATTATTTGTTAAGTGACAAGACTTTTGTCTAAGCTAAGTAAGACCTTACTGTGCTAATTAAATAATTTAAAAAATCAAGGCATGGTCATATTTTATTTTAGTAAAATAAGCGTAATCTAGAGGCCTTTGCCTTTCATTTTAGCCATATCTGATACCAAATGATCAACAAGAAGTCAAGTTATTATTTGTTGTTCCTAAAACTTGGATAGGCGACAGGACTGTTGTATGCATGTGTGTATTTTTAGATTTTATTTATTTATTTTTTGAATATATATTTGGAAGAATTGTTATTTAGAATTGTTAATGCAAACAAAATGGTCTAAATATGGTATCGAAATAATATGGTAATTGCATGTCAACTAATAAAACAACTATTAACATTTTACTCAAACACATACCTAGATGGGACTTTTCAAGTGTTTAAAAGGCAATGGGAAAATATACTTCTAGAGAATTCTTAGTTTCTCTGAATTTATGATTTATATTTATGTGTTGGAGTAAAACGTAATTTTTGTTTTATCTGTAAGCTACTGAGGCGATCCCTTCCAAATTTCATATAAAAATAATGTGTTTTGTGTGCATAATGTAACAGAAATGTGATATGTCTTCAGATTCATTTTAATCAACACAATATCAGTGTTTAATGACAGAAGGGCTAAATCAATACTTAGCATAAAGAATTTTTAATAAATCTACGATGGACTCACCTGAGCTGCTCTCTGAGGGGCGGGAACTTCAGCTGCGCGCGGGAAAAACACTAAAACCAGTGTGATTATGAGTGCCAGAAGGACTACAGGGATAATACCCAACCTGGTGAGAGACAACACCGTGAATACTTAACACACTACACAAAAGAGTATGTCAGAGTTAAATAAAAGTGTCTTACTTTGTTGGGCCGGTGGCGCGCGACAGAATTATAGTGAGCGCGAGAGTCAGTATCCAGATTAAAGTGATGATAAACACACCTGTCCCAACACCGAGCACCACATCCGCCATCCTCACCTCTTACACAGCCAGTGCCTGGACCAGACGAAGATTTCTAACGTTTGTAACAGTTAAGACAGTGTCATATGATAAAAGCACGCGCTAAATCTGCTATTTAAGTTTGTAAGCATAGAGTATGAAGCCGGTGGACATAATGGCGCATCTAACGTTAAGTTACGTGCGTCTATCTGCAAGATATTTACTATTACTACACTGATTTTTACTCATTTTAACTACCATGTTAACAAGTAAACGATGGGGACCCCGCAGTTGATCGACATTACATGCTAAAGCCAGCAAACTAATCCCATGGCTAACGTTTCACGGATACGCTAATTAGTTAGTGAATTTACCTCACAAAACAACCGAGCGCTGAAACCAGCTAGGTCATTCTGAATAATTAGCTGATTTACACAAAATACACACGGCAGAAAGCATAAAATATTTCCATGGAAACAATGCCGCTTCTGTTTACTTTACCTCCACACTTCCTGTGTCTCAAACAGTCCAATCAGGTTTTGGCATTTTCCGAATAGCATGCTGGGACTTGTAGTTCATGTGATTACTTATTATGGGTCAGGGAAAACATCTTGTTTCTTTCCCCTGCTACATCAGTACTTCATTTTGAATTACTTGCACTCTTAATTATTTTGTTTTAAGCTTTACTTTATATGTATTACTTCTTGAACTTATTGAAATTTATAATTTTATGAATATTTAATATAATATATTATTTAAATATTATATTATAATATATTATTTTATGAATATATATATATATGTAATATTTAATGAATTGTGCCAGTTATTAATTTAATTTCTTTCAAATTTTTTTTCTTTCTTTTCTTTTCTGCTTTATCTCCCTGGCTTTCTCTATGTTCCTTATATCTTTATTTCACAATGTTTCAATATACTGTAATTATTACTCACCATTTACTGTTCAATAATAATAATAAAAAAAAAACATTATGAGTCAGCATTTTACGATTTTTACTCTTGCTTACTGTTCGATTTATCAAGCCCATAGCCAGCCTTGCGAAAGGGGTGAATCTTTTTTTCTTAAAAAGTGGAAATTTTTGCAATTATTCGCCGCATTTCCTATTTATTTATTTATGAGATTTAAATATTGCCTTTTAAGCACTTGTTTTGCTGAATTAGCTTGTTGGATGGTCATCATAACTTAACTTTTTGACCAAAAACGTTTCCTAAAGATTTAGAATAAGGAAATAATAGAATAATATTCACAAAATACAATACTTATTAAAAAAAAAAAAAAAAAAAAAAAAAAAATATATATATATATATATATATATATATATATATATATATATATATATATATATATATATATATATATATATATATATATCTGTTAATAAATCTGTTATATAAATCTGTTAATTTTTTTAAATGTAAAAAAAAAGTGTAGCCTATTATTATTTATTAGACAATTAACAAACCGGCAAGCGTGTTCAACTTTCCTCTATCAGAATAGGCTGTATGCACACAGACATTTAATTTTCAGCCAGAAAGCCCCAAGGTTTTTGATGAACTGTCTTTCCATTACAAAATTGTCATTTTTAAGATCTGATTTCTTTAACAATCAGTGATCTTCACTGCCTGTTAGATATACGATATGAAGTTGATCTCAGATCATACAGGAAGCACCCCCCCCCCCCCCCGCCATGTCTTTAAAATATGTCTAGATTGGATAAGCGGCCAGCCGGCAGTGGATATGCCTCAATATAGAAGCATTTTGTTTTGACACTGGATAACAATAGTTAATATTTTTACAGTCATGTGACGGTTGGGTTTAAGATTGGGGTGGGAGTAGGCTTTAAATAATACAATTTATTGGGTAATTTAATAGATAGCATAAATTAAACTCGGTACAACTAATGTTTTTACGTTACTGTGATGGTTGGGTTTAGGGTTGGGGTGGGAGTAGACGTTATTAAAATGAAATAAATGAGAAATGTAATAAATAATACAAATAATTCTCATTAACTTCCGGCTACAACCATATCCGATCTTGCAACAACCTATTTTAACACTGTATTCTCAATGGAATTTCTTTGCAATGGAATTTCACATTTGAGTCTGTATACAGGAAAATAGCTTTCTTTATGTTTATCTTAGGGTCCCAGTCCCATACAAACAAAAATAGAATAGGGCCCCTGGCGTAGCCTATAGTTGATCCAGATTAGCCTTTCGGTTCCTCAAAGCTCAAACGTGCATTTGGGATTTGACCAAGTGCCTAATTTCTTTGTTTCTCGTGGCACAAATAAATAGGTTTGCTCTGTTCTCCAACTAGGCTAACAGCCAAGGCGACCTTCGAGCCGAATGTAGGTCTGATTTAATGCCGACAGGGGGCCAGCGGGCTCCTCCGTTAATGAACCGGAGACGCGCGCGCGGAGCCCGGGTGATCGGTGCAAGAGGAGCCGCGGAGGTGTTCGCTCGCTCGGCAGAAAGGGGTACCGGGAGAGAGAGAGAGAGAAAGAGGAGGGGGGGAGACGGTGGGAGGGGTCTGAAATGGCAGACGTCACGGCTTGTGTAGGGGAGTATAGGCTGTGTTGTCAGCCTGGTGTCAGTCTGATGAAGATTGGCATTCAGGTAAGCTGTCATTCATTTTCAATGTCAGAGCGCGGAGCGGGCGAACACTCCGGCGTGTTTTTTCCCCGCTCGCTCTCATTACAAAAGGCAGGACATTATTCATACAGACTGGCCGAGGGCTGAGGGGAGAGAATGATAGACAGACGGAGAGAGAGGGAGAGAAAGTGGAGGAGAGAGAGAGAGAGAGCGAGTGAGTGAGCGGAGGGAGGAGGAGGAGGAAGAAGAGAACGAGTGAGATAGAAGGAGGGAGGAAGAGAGAGGGAAGACGGGAGAAGATGCCGTGCAGTTTGCGGGAGCGCACAACAGCCTTTTGTGGATGTTTTGTTTTTGTGGATGATGCTTTCGGACTTGTGAAATGCGGTGGTAATTTTTTTTGTGTGTGTGTGTTTTTGTTGGGTTTTAAAAAGGGCATTATGGGATGTCTTGCGTAGGCGACAAATGTCGATTTTTTAAAATATTTACAAAGCGCAAAATGAATTTTAATATAAACTAATTATCAGAATTTTAATTGTCGCCGCTAATGGTTTGTATCGATCTAAACGTAGCTTTCGTTGGGTTTTAGTGAGGACGCTGTTTGTATTTTGCTGAATATTGTTAGTTTTTAATCAAGATTTTGCTCTGTAGCTAAATGTTTGTATGGTGTTCAGCTGTTTGGCAAGTTTGACGCGAGATTGAAGGTTTGTAGAACACAGTTTAGAGAAAAAAATACATTTGTTTTGTTTTGCATCAACTTTTTTTTTCTGAAGTAGGCTATTCAGGCAAGATTTGAGCTGCTCATATAACTAAGCTGACTCAATAACACAGCTAACTTATTTAAAATATTCCCGTTTAAATTGTGCTCTTAAGTTTTCTTGCTATGTAAATCAACATTAAAGTTTTAGTTTAATTAATAGTGATACATTTTATTATACATTCTAATTTTGACAAAAGTCTTCAGCACGGTAAAGTCTAGATATATAGAGCTGCAGATATGCACGTCAATGCATCATCTTTTATGACACTATAACAATAATTCATATTTTTACAGTGGGATGGTTGGTTTAGGGTTAGGGTTGGGGTAGATGTTAAAAATACAATTTATTGGGTAATTTAATAGATAATAAATAAATATATAAAAAAATAATAATACTCGGTACAACTAATGTTTTTTACATTACTGTGACAGTTAAGTTTAGGGTTGGACTAGAGATAGATGTTAATAAAATACAATTAATTGAAAATGTAATAAATAATTATAATAATTATTGTGGTTAATCAGCTATACCAACAGAGAAAACACCAGATTCAGATACTGTGACGGTTGGGTTTAGGGTTGGGGTAGGGGTAGACGATAAAAAATACAATATGTTGGGTAATTTAATAAATAACATAAATAATACTTGGTACAAATACTGTTTTTGTCACTAATGACCAATGAGTGACACTAATAAAATACAATTAATGGGAAATTTAATAAATAATATAAATAATTTTCATTAACTTCCAGCTGCAACCATCACAGTGTACATGTTCAACACGTACTGTTACAACTAGACGTTCACAAGCAACACTTTGGCATGAAATAGGGCAAAATACACTCTGAGTAACTTGTAATCTAATATTTATATTTATACCTTTGGTTAAAAAAAAGTTAAATATGTATGAAATAACATTCAAGCGTTAGATAGGTCTAAATAAAATCATAATTGCACATTCGCCTATTAAAACCTAGTGATTTGAAGTAGTGGAAAAGTGTAAAGATTCAATATGACTGGTAGTTAGCATTTTGGGGCAGCACAGTGATTCTTAAATATCGCTTATATTTAATATGTCATGAAGTTATTAAAAATTTAAATATGCCTGATACAATTGTTGGTAGCCTAAATGAACCTTTACTTTGCTGTATGACATTATAGTGGGTGTCTTCTATGAATCATGGTAAACAGTATATATTAAAAAGTATTTAGTTTTTGCTTAGATTTTATTGTACTTTTTTTTTTAACAGAAAACTTTCTAATAATAAAACTAGAAGCTTCATTATGCTTTGCTTTGATTTAAAACGATTTTGTCTTTGACCATATAAAGGTCCCAGACTCATCCCATAATCCCTCTGGTTGTGTGTTAGTAAATGGCAGACCATTGGAAACTCATGTAAAGTAATTAGGAATTCTATTAGAGACATGCTACTTCATTTAAGGGTTTTCTACAGTTATAATCAGCTGGTTATTATGATTTTAAAAAGCATCATTTAAGAAAGTCTCTACACTAGTAGTCTATGTCAGAGTTAAACTGTGTTTATTATTACTATAGTGTGTATTATGCTCTTGTGAATTGAATTCTTACAGTATTTGTCATCTGATTTGTAAAACATGAAGCTGATTGTTCCGTTCTGAAACAGAACATTATACAGTGCTGTAAATGATCAAGTTCCTCATCAGATAAAGACTTGTTCCTTTGTAAAAGTTTATTGACTTTCACTTTTGCATGACATTAACACCCTTTGCTGTTCTAAAACTTTTATGTTATTATTATTTTTATTATTACTTCTACTATTATTATTATTATTGTTATTATGTAAGTTTGGATTCCTTTCCTAAACTAACAAAGTTGTTTGACTAAGGAGTATCATTTGTAAAGTGAGGTGGTAAGAAAACTTTTGTGAATATATATAACAAATAGATTTTTGAGCCACTTTTATTTCACTTTCTGTAAATCTAAAACGATCTTTTAGTATTTAAACAATCTCACTTATTCTCACACTTATTCTCACATATATATAATCTCACATATATATAAAAAAACTCCAAGTGAGCACCATTTTGTAATAAAAAAAAAAAAGATCTGAGATGTGCAGTGAGAAAATAGTCTTAAATTCTCTTTCTGACTGCCTTAATTATGGATATGACCTTTCTTAACAGTTAAGTAAAACAGCAAAACAACATCATTAAACATTTATTAAAAAAAATTAAATGAAATAAATAAATCTTGAATGTAATTAAGAAAATAACCCAAAATATTAAAATGTGATTAACTAATCTTTTCCAGTATTTGCAACAAAGTTTTAAAAGAGTTAAATACAGTATTCCTTTTTCATCTTTATTCATTACTTCATATTCATTGGTTTTCATGAGTGAAGTATAGAAATATGATAACAAAAAGGGATATTTTTGGATCTGTGTATAGTTAAGATATATGCGAGTGAATGTGAGGTGTGGTTTTTATATTTTTTGTAGTTTATTGTATTTGCGCACTGTTTCAAGCACTGCATATGAATTTCGATGTGTATCATGCAATGACATTAAAGGAAATTGATCAATCATCCAATCAATGAACCAATCAATCAATTAGTATCATACAAATGAGCTGCACACATACATGAAACAACCTTGCATGTCCATTTCACGCCCAGAGTGAAGTCTCATTTAATCAGCTGTTTTATTTCTGCAGTGCAGGCGATCACGAGGCTTTATAATGTTTTGTCTGGAAGATAAAAGTTGTTGGATGGGGCTAATTTAAATGCCGAGAACCCTGCTGGGATCTTAATTGATGATTTGTGTCGCGGGACAAGCTGCCCAGGGGCAAAACTGCAAACACAAAATACTCCGACTTTATTTGCATATTCCCCTTCTCCACATTACCAGCAAATTACAATCCGAGGTTCAATACTGCAGGACCCCGAGCTCTTTTGGTCTAATCACTAATAAAATGACTCAGTCACTCCAAATGAGGAAGCAAACTGAGCAAAAAGGAGATCGTAAACCAATGGTGATGCTGCTAGACTTGCATAAAGCTATTTAGAAAATTGTCTTCCTTTCTAATGTGTTGTTTTTCATGCCAACTCTGTGTCTAAAGCGCTAATGTAATATACATAATATAGTCAAGTCTAAAGATTTCAAATAAGAGTTAATTAGAGTTTTGTGATCTTTAAATACACTGTGATGATTAAATCTGTGACTCTGGATCATAAGACCAGTCTTTTGGTGCACGGTTCGGTTGTATTTTGGTCAAATTTTCAAAGTGATCGATTTTGATTTCATGCCAAAAATCATTCAGTAAAACTCATCTTCCATGAAGACATTTTGTACATTTTGTTCCTTAAGTCTAAAAAAATGTAATGTTTGAATTAGGGCTGCACAATATTTTTGCATCGATATCGCAATGTGCACATCTACAATAGTCACGTCGCAAGATTTGCAACGTTGAGTCTAAATTATAGTTGATTAATAGGAGCTACAGAACACATGTTTTGTAGAGTCGCTGCTAAATTTAACCATAGAGTGAAAATGTATCATTTGTATGTGTTCTTAAGGCCTTAGACTTAGCATTTGGGCACAAACAGTATGATGTTTGGAGGTGTAACAAAGATTAATTGTATGTAATTAGTTTACATTTTATGCAAAATATATTTCTTTTTTAGAATTATTTTTTTCTTGTTCTAGTCCAAATATATACACCTCAGAAGTGAAAATAATAATATTTTAATTACCCTGTTGGTAGATGGTTTTGCTTGTTTTAAGAAAAAAACTCCTAATTTTCAGTTGGCGAAAACAAAGCAATATTTTTACTTGATCTACAAGAATTTTTAGATATTTGCACATGAAATGAAACAAAGCAAAGTAAGAAAAGCATTTTTTGCATTGTATTTGCACTTCTGTACTTGAATACTGTTAGACTGTAAACCATTAAATTGCGCTGTTCAAACTATCTAGCAGAACATGTATCACAATATTTATTGCAGAAAAACAAAATATCGCAATATCAGATTTTCCAATATCGTGCAGCCTTAGTTTGATTAGTAATATGCATCGAAGATTGGATTTAATATTTTTTTAACTTCCGAAAATGTCAGATTTCAAATAGGTGTATTTTGGCCAAAAATTGTCCTCACAAACTATACATAAATTCAAAATTCCATTCTTAGCAATGCGTATATTTTTTTTTAGCGATGAATAAATCTCAATTCCCCAAAAATTTTTTTTTTTTTTTTTTTGTGATCCTGGGTAAAATATGTGTTTTCAGAT